TGAAGGCTTGTGAGGATGGACTGCAGCTGTCCCATCGAGAGGTCAGAGGAGAATATTGGTGACATTCTCAGATGCTCCAGCATGTCAGAAAAAATAGCTCGTCACGTAACCAGATCTCTTTCGACTCGTAGCCCCGTATATGCAGAGCATCAATACCCATGAAAGCGTAGCATATCAGAGCGATACTGGCTCCCACACCAAATGGTCTGTAGGGAAAACAGGGCTGTTCGAAACACGTTTGAACAAAGCTAGACTCTTGCGATGAATATTGTCCGAGAAGGAACAGAATATATCGGATCTGCATTTCCAAGTCTTCATATGACATAGTGCGCAAGCCCTGAGATTCGCTTAAAGCGTCGCGGATATTATTGAGCCAGGACTGCAACTGACTGTACTGCAAGACGAAACTCTTCTCCCAGTCATAGTCACTCCGGTATATTATGGCCCACAAGGAGCCTTCATTTCCAGGGAGCATTGCAGTAATGAATAAGTAGTTTAGAACCAGTAAGAGCTGATGAAAGGTGTGGCGGCTCTCGGCTGAAAGAGTGCCAGGTGCTGGAATTTGGGGCTGGAGTCGAGGTGGCAAGGAAACCTGGAATAGCGTGAGCCGTGAATGCTAATGTACAACGAGACTGCAGAATTTACCGGAAGTGCCATATCAAAGTATGACTGCGTTGTACAAGGGCCGAAAGAGCTCGGGCGTTCCTCAGGATCGCCTGTACTGAGCGGAAAATGACCGACGGGACTGGGAGGTGACTTCTGCGATGTCATCACTTCGCCTTCGTTTTTCCAATCTTCTATCAGGCCGTTGCTGGCTTGGAAATATCTTGAAGAGAAGACGTCGGTAGATGGAGATTGGCAATCGTACCCCGTTTGATTGGCAACTTGCCCGGTCTCACGAGTCTCTCTTTGTGCATCGATAGTCTTCTCATTTCGCTCATTATAATTCGTCCGCTCGGCCTCGAAGACAGCCTTTCGCCGCTTCGAACTTTCTGGCTGGGTTGGCGGCATTGTCTTCTGCCCCAAGGTCTTCTACCCCAAGGCCAAAGGGACCCGTTCTTCATACAAACATAGATCCGGTTGCCCACGGTCACAGCAAGACTGACAGGCGGGCATATCTCTACTGCATCCTTTTTTGGAAATGCGACAGGGGATGCAGGGCCGCCGTAATTTTCTGGAGCATGGGGCTGCCATTCCATGAGATTTTGTCATGGCTTTGGAGATAAATAATCAAAATTGGATTGATCGCAGATGTATTCTCTTGCCTCTATCAAAATGGCGAAACAATTTGTAATAAGAGCAGTCGAGATAGTTCGTGGCTTGGGGATATCTGATTTGGATGCAACTTTGATAAAAGTGAGATGCAATCGAAGCGACACTCAGTCTACTTTAATACACCAACAACCGTGGCCATGGTATTCTTCAGACGGCGTTTTCTTTAACATTCTTCAGGGCTTTGGTGGCGAGCTGTACGGCTCCTAAAGCGGTAAGTAGTGAGCCCTTTCGGCATACTGGATCTGATGCTGCCTGAAAATACATGGTATTATCTGGAGCGTCGCGGCACTCAGCATGCCTTGACACTTTCACTCCCTATTCTCTGGACAGAAATAGCCTGTGGTCTGGAGTCACATCAATTGTGACACGCTGAGAGGATTGTAGTGACCTGGGGAATACCTTCGGCGTTCCCAGGAGTAACAAAGCGCCTTGGGTCCTCAATGCTGATTTTGCCATCAGAAAGTAGACCCCTGAATCCACCGAAGAGATCCCAGGAGCATGATGCGACCTATAGCTGGACCCTCTAGTCGGATGGACTGGTCTGAGGACTGGAGCCCTTCATAAAGCTGCGCTCGTCTCTTGGCTTTCTACAAGCTTCTCTCAATTTCACACCCTCTCACACTTCTTTTACATCATGGTTCGTTAAGTATTCTCACGACATATTGCCCATGGGAAACTAAACAGATTAGTAGTCTCGAATCGGAGACTTGCCTCACAGAAATAGTGTTGATGATTGCCACATACCTACATGGTAGCGCCAAATTCGCTCTTGCAAGATCCTGCAGATCGCTGAACCACCTTCTACGAACGGGAATTCTCCAATTCAACATCGAATATCAGAACAGCAATCTTCTTGGCCTAGCCGCCAAAGATGACAATGTTGATCTTACGCTCATGTTGCTTCATCAGGGAGCAAACGTCAATGCCTTCTTTCGTGGGAGAACCCCGGTTATGAGGACCCTCAAATATTCTTCATCCGCCGTGCTCAAGCTCCTACTGAAAAGTAGTAGGCTAGATATAAATGTCCAAAACCGAGAGCAGGAAAGCGCTTGTGGTATGCAGTGAAATATGGAACATGCTCGACGCTGCGGCCCATACTAAAACTAAGGGACTTTGCAGTCAATCTTCGGCATCAGAGAGGCCAAACCGCACTCCACCTCGTCGTCTGGTGGGGCAAAATTGGATTGGCGGAACTGTTGCTGTCCAAAGGCAGTGACCCCTACTCACCCGACGAAACTGGTAGTTCGCCTTGGGCATGGGCCGCCCGATACAACCGGCCGTCTACGAGGGCCGTTTTTCTAAAGGAGCAAGACTATTTTCACCTAGTGCAAAATAATTTCAATGCGCCAGCGCTGCATCAGGCAGTTCTTCATGGATCGGTGGATGCTTTGAATGTGCTCTTGAGACAAAACCGTCCTTGTGTGGCGACGATCGATAGTAATGGTGCCACAGCACTCCATCTTGCTGTCCGCAGTCGACGCTTGGAAGTGGTTGAAATCCTTCTCCAGCATCCTCATTCTGACGTGAATTGTGTGGATAATGTTGGAAATACCTCGCTTTGGTGGTCGACGTTTCTGTCATATGATGAGATAACGGAAAAGCTACTTGCTGTAAAGAACATTGATGCCAACTTGATCGGCGGCTCCAGTCGGCTAGACACCTCCTCGGCACCACTACACCATGCCGTGACTCGGTTGGATACCACGACTTTGAAGTGGCTGCTGGCGGCTCCAGGTATCGATCTGAAGATCTGCGCTGCAAGACAGACCCCTTTTTCTGCCGCCGCCGCTGCAGGCAGAGTGAGCGCAATGAGAATACTTTTGAGTCAGAGGGGCGTCGAACTCAATACGGGTGGAATTTTAATGGATCCTCCCCTATGCCAAGCGGCGTTAGGAGGCCACTTGGAGGCTGTTAGACTGTTGGTGCAGCAAGGACAGCGGCTCAGAATCAACCAGGGTACCTTGACGATGCATGACACGGCTCTGGGGATCGCTGCCCGTGCGGGTGACCTGGAAATAGTCCGGACTCTGTTAAGACACAGAAAGATTGACCCTAGCCTGGAGAATCGATGGCTGGAGTCTCCGTTGGTGTTGGCAGTCAAAGGCGCACATGTCCTTGTCGTCGATGCTTTGCTGGCGGATCCAAGGTTGGATACGTAAAGCTTGCGAGTCGCACGAGCAATCGCGACGCACGAGGGTATCCGAAGGGCCATTCAGTACGAGATGGATGATCGCAGAGCCCATTGTTGATGGATCAAGGCACACTGGTCCCTGGCATAGTGGACGCGGGTAGTCTGCGTGGACGGGTGCTGAGGTAGTGCTGCTTGAGGTATTGAATGTGGGCTCCAGAAAAGTGCCGGTTAGCATTGATACACTGTGCGCAACGTCCACTGGAGTGTATATAAAGCATAAGAGGAATATAATCATCGATCTCACAATACGTGGTGGTAACCAGATTCCCTTGAGAAGCTGCAGAGACGGCATTGATCTTACCACATGTTTTTCAACATCGTGCATGAAAGGTAAGAACGTGCGTGGACTGTCTGTCAACTCAAAAAGGGTGAAAGTCTGGCCCAGGATAATTTGATGGTAGGATTTTTCTCTCCCAGAGTAATATGCTGTATTTAAAAACCTATGGAGACCCGCTCTGTTGTGCACGCTCAATCTTCTCCCATTCTTCCCTAATGAATCCACTCGCGGCATCCCCTTCACCAGCCGACCGCCCGGCCAAGAGACAGCGAAGACTCTCCGAGGACACTTGCAACGACCCGAACGCAGAGGATATTTCACCAGACTCATGCTCTACCGCAGTGAGCAACCTCCCTACGACGCAACTTGAGCAAATCCTGCGCCGCAATAGCGGCCTCGCCCTACCGGCCCTAAGACTCTTAGATTTGTATTTATGTCTATGGGAAAGTTATGTTGTGAAATCTGCGGAGAGTATCCGACTTGAAGGTGAGCGGCGCCAGTTATGCGAGTCCAACGAATTGCTGGAAGAAGAGACTGATAGTCTCCTCCAGTGCTGCAACCGACAGGCAGTGGCGTTAGAGATTCGAAAAAGCACTGTGAAGGCATTCCACGGGAATGTCATGTCGGCCTTGCAAAACATCGACCTACCTTACTCTCACATTCAGAGATCTTGATTCACGCATGGAGCCATACATACTTTGTCCGTTTAAGAATATTTATTCTTTTCGATAGTCCAACTCCAGCTGGAACTTCCACGGAAATGTAATTTGCCATGTATGTGAAGCACGGCGAAGTTATAGGACCCCTCAATTGCTGTCTTGTGTTATTTTCTTAAATAGGTTCCATAACCTCAATTCTTAGCCACCTATGAGCTACCTATATCTAGTACTAATGAGATTTCTTATCAATGTATGGTTTCTTTTTTCATAAAGCTGCGTCTTCCATCGGCAAACATGAACAGCTTCATTTTCCTCTTATAGCTCAAAGATAGGCTCAAGGCGATCCTTGCAGCTCCTATCGAATCAACCGCCCATCCTATCTTTTCGGCTACCTCCAGATGTGATCAATCAATTTGTGATATACTGTGACGTGTGAGGTCGAAGGGATCCGACTTTGAACATCAAGGGGCAAAACATAAAATTGGACAAACACCACAATTTACCTGGCTATCTCGTAGGTGCAGTGGAAGATAAATTGACCAGGATTCTATCACTGACCTCGCTCGCAATTCATCAGCCCTGCCACTTGGCCTTCCGATCACTGCTCCCAATCATTGAGAATGCTGATCAATCGCCCCCGAGAAGCCTCCAATGCTTGGTTTAGATAATCAAACTGAGATAGCTGCTCATCATGATGAGCCAGAAGCAGCCCCTTTTCATTTTCCAATCGTGCGTTCTCCATTTTCAACTCATGGTTGGTTTGTACCAGCCTCTCATCGCCAATATGTTTCGACATGCAGGACTCCCAAAGTCGTCGATAGAGTCCCAAGATTCGAGCTGCCTGAATGGCGAGCTTTGGATCATCCCGTTCGAGCTCTGCGAGAAGCTGTAGTATCGGTTGAAAGGGTTCTGCTGCTGAAGTTTGCTCTTCGTCGGCCGGCGGCTGGGAGACCGGCTGCATTGATTAGCATCGTGCACGATATTAGAGATACAAATGATCCTTACCTGCGTAGGGGCTTCTTCGGCTGTCAATCCCGGGTTCAGTCGCTCATTTGGGGCTGAAGTTGCAACGAAATCGGCTTTTTCGTCCCCTTGCGTGTCGTGGCAGAAAGGCGAAGGATCCATTTTCTTCTCAAAGTAATATATTCGAGACTCTGGATATATATAGTATGGATATATATAGTATGGTCAGAGTTAGCTCTATTTCATCTAATTTATATCCACGAAGACCTATCAAGCTAGCAAATTCCGCTCTCTTCATAATGCTCAACGCTTGATGATGTTGATAAACCCAATCGTGTATTAGTAAGAGATATGTGATCAACAAACAACTCACTTTGAAAGAAGTGGAGCAACGGCAGCATGACCATTACTGACAACAGATAGAGAAATTCGTGCAAGAGAAAAATGTAAAAGTGATCCAGACTGAATGAGCTTTGGTGTGCCTCATCGTGGAATCATCACCGTCACCTCAGCCGTTGAAACAGTGATAAATGAGACATGGTTTGAACATATCTTTTGCTATACTTGGAAAATTCACCAACTGGACGCTGTCAAAAGTCTTCCGTGAAAAAATGAGGAAATTTCCCACACCTCCACCGATTTTCATATCGCCATCTTCTTTTGCATATCTGCTCGCTGTTTGTATCAGGCTACTAGCGGCCGCGGTCCATCGCGCGTACAGAATCTTGCCGCCCAAACCTCCCCCGTCGCAGATTAGCGTTTGGATTATGCGATCGCCTTGGTGGTATTTCATTTTCTTCTACTCTGTACAAAGCAGCCAACAGTCACAGTGCAATACCGCTTGCGTGCAATTCCCGAACGATCGTTTTCAAATGAATTCGCATTCCTTGGGACATCCATCTTCGGAGGTGGATTTGCAGAGCCGATCTCGTTTGATTCAAGCATCAATGATGAACGAGCCGAAAGACCAATGGCCCTCAATTCCCTACAATTGCTTCATCGTACGTCCTACCCGCATGGCCCTTCCACAACAGCCGCTTGAGATGTTTTATCCAGAAGAAGCCATGCGGCAGATTCATCGGGATAGTCTCGTCTGTTGCGGCTTTCAACGACCAGGACACTTTTCTGATCCTTGCTTCAGCCATTGCGAGCCGATCCCTGTCATTCGCTGGCTGGGAGATAGTCAAAAATCGTATGCTTCCGGCCTATTAAGTTCAGCCTCCAAGCCCCATGCCTTTGAGGCTAAAGTGGCCCCTACCTGCCATTTCAGTTCTTTGTGGCTTGACAGCAATGAAGTTCTTGCAACGAGCCCAGGTTCTCTTGGGCCTACCAACGCCGCACCTCTTCATTCCTCCCAAGCACCTCCGGGCTGGAGCACCCAGAAATCGGCACAAAAATCACCCCAGCGGCAGTTTAAATGCACGTACCCGGGATGTGATGGCCAATTCAGGCGCCGCAAGGCCCTCGAGCGACACCTGACATGCCACTCAGATGAAAGGCCGTACGTCTGCTGGGTGCCAGAATGTCATCGCCGCTTCAAACGCTCGGACAACCTGAAGGCACATTACATGACCCATGCCAAAATTGGGGGCCGTAATCGCTACGTGGCAACCTTGGACAATACGAGTTCTGTCTACAGCCCGGAGTTTCACGGCCAATTGACATTGGAGGGGTGGCCAACTCATGAATAGGCGAGAGTTGGAAAGTCCTGTTAAGTCGGAATAATTGTTGATCTATTGCCTGGTAAAGTCAGTGACCGACAGGAGAGTTACACTAGATATAAAAATACTCATCATTATACTTTCTAATTCCCTCCTGGTCTTACAGGATCTCTTAGATCCATTGTCCAAGTTTTGATAAATTATAAGGGATCATTTTCTAGGCCTTGGGAATAGAAATGGGATATTTTTTAAAACTTGCGGAACATAGGACAACTAGCTATAGATGAGGCCGAAAATCGGGACAGGGAGGTACGAGACAGGACGAATATTCTGTGCTGAGTGTATGGATTCACATCTTCGGACAATAGAAGCAGCCTAGTTCAAAAGAAACAAAGCTAGGTGAGCTACTTCGCATTCAACAATCCGTTACAGAGTTAGAAGGGCTTTCAGAGTCCGAGGAAATTTTAGGAGTCGACACTGCTGCCATAACCGATGCCGGGCTGGAGGTGGCGACCGGAGAGGTCGGCTGGGATTGATTCTCTGGAGACGAGGTCTGCGAACTGTTTCTGACGGTACATAAGCTCCCTTTAACTAGGTCTCCATTGATCTTGCAGCTCCCTTCGTCTCCTTGGTAATTGTGAAAATAAAGTAGACCACTTCGATACACTTCGACCCACGCAGGGTGTTGGCTGGAGCCACAAAGCATGGCTTTAAATGAAGGAGGATCAGACTGGGTGCTATTATTCGCTTTATTCAGACCTTAAATTTGTTAGAAGGATTCCTAATTTTCGGTGGATCAGTGTATCGCTTACTAGAACAAGAGACGCCGTCAAGGGGTGCGAACGGCTCTGAAACCCCGGTACAGCCGAAGTTATGGGTAGAATATACGAAGCACTGGCCTTGATGGTCAATGATCTGAAGGGTTCCGCCGAGAACCGTCGAGACGAGGGTAACAAATACAAGGAAACGGTGCATTTCTCTTTCGCTCCGGAGTTGGAAATTCTTGAGTCAATTGAGATATGCGTTGGTCAGTTCGATCATTTGGCGACGCACGCATAGGTATTTATATTTGCGTTTCGGATAGAATTGTAGTAAGACTTTAACATGAGCCATGTTCAATTCTGGTGAGTTCTAGTCAGTCATCATATTGTTGACTTGGCCAAAGAGTCCATATAAAGATTGTTTATGCGGACCTTCCTACATTTAAATGGTGCCGAAAATAAATAGTGTTGAGGCGACTTTCGATAGCTTGTAACAGCAAAATGATGTTCTATGGGGAGTGACCGGATTTATTGTGATATTCCTCGGGTAGGTCATGTTCCCCATCGACATATAAAACATAAAATCATTAAAATACCAATGGAAAACAACTTTTATGAAACCGAAAGCAACTGGAGAAGTTCAGCGATCTATAGAGCAAGTGTCCGAATTGAAACAGGCTTCCTCCCAAGCTCGAGGCAGCAAGACCCCGAGCGACTATGCTACTCATTCCTGCCTTATCTTGTGCGTTGCCACTACGATCATCTTTGGACAAACAGTCAGCCTCCTACTGCCCGGATTTCAAATGCGTGAATTGGAAGCAAGGGAATTATCACACGATTGTGAGCAAATATTGTGACATTGAAGCCCAAGCCTCTCAGTTAACTTACTTACTGTTTTCCGGGATGATCAGACGACCACATATCTTGTGACTTGCCCCCGAACCGTGGCTGCCTCTGAATGCGGCGTTTCTGAAGCAGGGATGACGGCTATCGTTAAGAAGGACTCCATAGAGCTGGTGGATATCAACAGAAGGAATAAATTTTACTTTTCTGCTCACTCAAATCAGTTTCAATACTGATAGATTCTCACAACACAGCGTCCGTATCGTGCCATATCACGGTAACAGCGTACGCATCCCGCTTTGCTACAAACACGTTTTCTGTTCATGCCACACTAGCCCCAAAAGGCCTCAATTGAATGGAAATGCCTGCGATGACTGCTATATCAGAGCTAAAAGACGTGAAAATCTCCTCAACCTCCACTCATAAAGTTATGGTGACGCCTGCTACGGAGCTGCCATCAAGGACCGAAACGGCTGTCGCACCGGCGGCTGCGAGCCAAGGAACATTTATAATTAAGGCTTCATGGGGCTTATGCGGCATAATGAGCTCGTTTATGGTTGGCTTTCTGGGGTACAGTTTGGTTTTCTCTTTGCTCGGCTGGCAGCTTCCCCCTTTCCATTGACCACAAGTCCGGTAGTAAGCAGCTCAAATTAGCTTGAGAATTGCGTGTGCCTCAGTTTCCTGTGTCGACGCCAGCGCCATTTCATAAAGATTAGCCTACCTGAATTGCACACAAACTTTCATCTTATAGAGAGCGATGTATTGTGTCTCACATTGACTCTCGCATGATCAAAAAAGCGAAATATATAGTGAAAGACCATTTCTCCCAAACCGAAACCGCTCCTCGCGCACACAAATCAGATATTAAAATAGCGATCTTGAACACTGAAGAGGCTAGCACCCTTTAATAAGTAATGACAATGATTTGAAGCCCTTGCTGGTTGTGTATAAGAAAGGCTAGGCGGATGTCCAAATTTATAATATAGAGACCCTCTAGAGATATCAATAAGCTCCGTTCATATGTACCCAGCCAGAAAGTCCAGTCCACTTGAATTTCTAGATAGTTTGATATCTTACAGTGGTTGCTCTGAGCCAGATTGAACAGAGAAATTGGATTGGGAAGAGAAATCCTCGCTGACATCATACTCATGCGGTATCTCTCGTTCCCACGATTGCCACAAGACCAAATATTGTATCACGGAAATCCCGTTTTCGCAGACTAAACGAGAAGCAACAGTGCTAATCGGGATCTTTTTACTGACCTAGTTGCTCTGGTTAGCTCGACAGTCAAAAGAAATCTTATGAACGCACTTACAGCTCCTGAGGAATTGTGACCATCCATGGCGTGGTGGATGCAGGGGAGACTGGATCCTAGCAACTCTTCCTCTGAGTATGTCACATAATCACTCTCTGATGCCACAAAGCTGCGATCCGCACTTGTTTCCGAAAGATCTTCCTCAGTAGTAGAATTGTGATCCGTTTCTTCAATATTGAGGTCTCCGTAACTCGATAGAACCTCGAAGAGCTCGTTGTCACTATCTTCAGTTTTTTCTGACATTTGTGAAACGATGTGGCACAAGTGATTGGAAGTGTCGAGCAGCACAGGGATCATCTCAATTTATACAAATTATGGGCGTGTGATGATATTCGGTAGCTTGGGGTTGAAACTATATGACGACCGGTGAGCCACATCTTGCAAATTTCTAAGACCCGGCCAGTATCATTTCGCGTTGCCTCGCTGTATACATGTCCATGAGGTCAAGCCAGAATTCTGCGGTGTGTTGACAGGGACCATCACTGGGCATTAAGATGGTTGGCTCATCGGGAATGGATTCAGATTCGGGGAACGAAGGGCGGGTGGAGCTCTCGCCCCACCGAAAGCCCATGGTAGGCCTAGATGATGCATGGCAAATTATTGGCCTGTCAACGTTGTTGAGGCAGGTGAAACGATTTCCACCGCGGTCAGCAATAAGAGTCGGCCAGACATAGCGCGTCGTCGACTAGTCTCAACAAGCTGATCTGATTACCTACAGCCTGGAAGTTGTACTACAGAGTTTGTTATCAGAACTGACTCGATGCACGCACCAATTCTGAAACAAAGCCAATTCTTGTTGACAACTCGGGTGTCACTGTTCTGCAACGTGGAATACTGACTGTCCATGTTGCAGAATCGTCGCAAGGCCACAACTGAAGAGATCCATGTATGATCAAAGGCTTGCACTGTCCTCGAAGCCAGGCGGCGATGGACAGGTCTGTGGCAAGGTCCAAGATGCCGTTGGTTGCTGTACCGTGATCCCGCTGGCGCCGGGCCAATCGGTTGTTCGGGTCCGTCGACGATTGAGAGCAAAACGGCTTCATCTACGCACGAGCTGAAAAGCAAAAGACAGAAGTACTGTATATTAAGTGACCAGTTAGTCGCGGCTTTTTTCTACTATCATATTACTATCGCGTTCCGCTGTCCGAATAATACTATGATGATTACTGAGAGCTACGGGGTTACCTCGACATGGAATGGATGGCCCGTGACAGATAGCAGACCCTATATTATCGACTTGGCCCCCTGTCCTGGTCAATATCCTCTCGTGACAGCCTCGCGCCAACGCGACAAACGTGACCAGACGTAGGATTTCGGTTTCACCTAGCGCCCGGGAGACACCTGTGAGGTTACTGAGCGTCGCCCACCAAGACGAGTCAAAGTAACTGATTCAATGATTGACTGAATTGTACCTTGCAAAACTACACATGCAAGGACTCTTGGCCTTCGAAATGAATAGGAAAGTCACACGGAACAAACTTCCGTCAGATAAAATAATAGGGCCTATATGGGTGAGGGTGACTCATGTTAGGGGTGCTGGAGGTGCTTCGTATAACAGACGAACGGGATGTACAGTCGTCTTAGCCCATTTGGATAGAACGTCGAGTGGTTTCTTTCGAAACGGAACAAGAATGAATCGTCACAGCCACTCAGTAAGGCTGAGACTAGAAATAAGAACCAAAACTCACGTTGAACTTTCCACTGTAGTCTCATTGCATCCAGAGTGCATTGCTTCGAGCACCAGCCGCATTGTGGCGTGGAGGTAGTGCCTGGGAATACTCGGGGGGAGCTCCCCGGAACTTGGCTCTCCTAGGAATTATGAATGCGATCCTGGGGGCATGAGCAGGCTTCTATTACAATTCGCTTCAATGAACTTCCATTCTTCACGAGGCATTCTTGTGATACAAGCTGCCTTGATGGATTCAGGTACGATGAAAGCCGTGCAGCGCCACGAATGATATAAACTCGGCCGGCCGCTCTTTTCACCAGACCATCATAGCTCCCCATGCGATTAGATTGCCCTAGCATTGCTTGCCATCTCAATATTCATTATGGTTCGTGACAGATATCCTTTACGTTGGCAGCTACATACTAAATTAGAGACAGCCCCATTTGCGAGGTCTACCGAATCCAATCTTATACAGAGCCGCAGCTTATCTCGAGAGCAGCGAGATATTTGCTCTCGCGAGAACGTGTCGAAATCTCCACGCCAGGCTACACCCGGCCATACTTGCAATCAACACCGAATGTCAAAACAGCAATTTGCTCAGCCTCGCTGCCATGAGCAACGATATTGACCTTACCGAAAGTCTCCTACAACGCAAGGCAGACGTCAATTCGTTCTTTCGAGGGAAAACCCCAGTGATGAGGGCTCTCAAGTACTCATCCTGTGACGTATTGCAGGTCCTGCTTGAAAGCCCGACATTGGATATCAATCTCCAAAACCAGGCGCGAGAAAGCGCGTTATGGTATGCCGTCACATACGGAACTTGTTCTGAGTTGCAACACTTGCTGCAGATCCCGAACTTACGAGTTGACCTGCGACACAAAAGAGGACGAACGGCACTCCATCTCGCGGTCTGGTGGGGCAAAACGGGCCTGGCGCGTCTGCTCCTCTCCAGCGGCAGCGATCCTCTCACTGCAGATGACTTTGGCAAGTCACCCCACGCATGGGCATGGCGCATCGGCCGGCCGTCCATGAAGTGGATCTTTGTAGGCGCACAGGAAGCTGGGCTCTCGCTCTCTTTCTACAGGCCATCCGCCGGCTATCAGACGAGCGCTGACCATGAGCTGCCGCTCCACCAAGCGGTAGCCCATGGATCTGTAGACGCGGTCAAGCTCCTTCTGACGCAGAAACATATAGCCCTGGATGCTCAAGATCAGAACGGGGATACTCCACTCCACCTCGCTGTTCGGTGTCGACGCCTGGAAGTGGTCGATTTGCTGCTGAGCCACCCGTGCGTCAAGATCAACTGTCGAGACAAAGACGGCAACACTCCGCTCTGGTTATCGACATTTTCCTCGCGCGACGACATGACCGAAAGACTATTGGCTGCAATAGACATTGATGTCAACTTTGTGGGTGGTCGTGGCCAAACCCAATCGCTTTCCACTTCTCTGCACCACGCGGTCGCAAGATGTGACACGGTCGCTCTGCGGTGGCTTCTTGAGATGTCTGGCATCGACCCCAATGTCTGTGTGGCAGGCATCTCTCCTTTTTCCGCGGCGGCCGCGAACGGCAACACCCATGCGATGGCGGTGCTTTTGAGCAAGAGGGGCGTAGACATCGACGCAACTGACATGGTAGATTCGCCCCTTTGTCGAGCGGCGTCAAATGGCCACTTGGAAGCGGTAAAGCTCTTGGTGCTACAGGGCGAGTCTCTGGCAATTAACCAGAGCACCATCGCCGCCCAAGACACCGCCCTGTGTACCGCCGCCCGGGCAGGGGATTCTGAGATGGTGCGGGTTTTACTGCGCCATCCCGAAGTTGATCTCAATTATCAGAATCGGTGGTTCGAGGATCCTCTGTTACTTGCAGTAAAAGGGGGCCATCTTTTGATAATTGATATGCTGCAGCAGGATCGAAGGTTACGGCCTACCAGTCTGTGGGCATCACTCCATTTTGCCGAGGAGGGTCCAATTCGGGAGGCAATCCAGAAGCGGGTCAATGATCTCAGCAGCCGTCGCGGGGCAGGTACAGCCTTATCATCAAAATGGAGGCTTGGTGACTTGCTCAAATGTCGACAGAAGAATTGTACAGCAGGGCGATACAAAATGATGCGCTGAAAGGCCAGCAAAGATGTGAATCAGTGGTGACGTGTGGAATGGGCTGGTGGAAGGCCAAGAACTTGATGGATTGGCAAGATTGCGAGCCGTTATAGAGCGCGGCGTTGATAGCTTGACAGTAACCAGGGCCAAGTATTGCAGCGGAATTGTTCTCTCAACTTCCATTTGTTAAGCCACCCTGCTTTTGATCCTCGTCCATTTGATATGGCAAACGGTCTTAGATCGAAACATGCGTCGAGATTTAGCGCCAATGCGGATAAGAAGCTGATAGTTGCGGGCGTCGAAAATATTTTGAGCTTCACATGCCTCCTTTCATGATAGTATATACGAAACCTCTGCCGATATTCCTCATTCAGTCTATACAGCTCCCTTCGTGAAGGCAATGGACGCACCAGATCGTTCTTCATCGGCCGAGGGACTAATTAAAAGATAGCGGCTGCTCTCCAAATACTCTGGGGATGAAACTACCGCCGACCTGCATGGCCTATTCCGAGAACCTTCGGAGCGTGAAAGTATCGAGTTCAAGGTTAGGATCTTCTCAGTAGGGAAATGAGAGCCTAGTTGACATGTAATAGAACACCACCGGCGCTGCCAGCCTTTTGACAACCGAGGCCAAGCGGATTCTCCGGATGTTCTCTTCCATCTCGAGGCCAGCTCTCGGCCTGCTCGACCTGTTCCTGTGTCTCTGGCAATGTTACGTCGTCAAATCTGCCGAGAAAATTCGACTCGAACGCGAGGTACTTCAACTTTGGCTATCAACTGATGAACTAAAAGCTGAAAATGGCCTTCTGTTGCAGTGATGTTATGAGCAGGCGCTGGTACAGTATTGTGGGATCGTGAGCGGGCAGGTCACACTGTTCAAGCTGGAGTCATATTAGTGTTCCGGATGTGTGATTGGAATTCTAACCAGGTGAATTGTCCTTGAAGCATCAACAAACATTGCTGAATGTGCATGAAGGCGAGGGTGCTGGATGATCTTCCCTTACGATCAACGGGGATGACCGGTGAGACGTCGATGCAGCCGAGAGTTAATCCCCGTTAAGCGTGTAACTATTCATACTGTGCTAAAATAAGATCGTTTTGAAGTATCAATCGACCTTTGATTAATACAATGTCTGTCTTTGACAAGCAAATTAAATTGGCCTATTGCCCGCTCCATTTCCAGCCGAAAAGTTCATCGATCTAACGCCAATGATCCCGTTCTGTTCTCTCCAACTCCTAGAACTAACGACGTCCGAGGAAATGAATGATTCGGCCCAGATTGGTTCGTGAACTACTTTACAGTTCACATCACCCATAAACTCATGCTTACCTTCATATAGACTGTGTCTCCGATATCGACATCCATGCAGCCTGGCAAGAGTCTTCGAATATACCCGCTATACCCCCCCTGCCTTGCTACCGACCGCAGCCATGCGAGGCAGGCTTCTATAAATTTATCAGATATCTCCAGATCTGAAATTTACGGGCTATCTTTGGTCGACTGTCTATTCTATCCGAATCACGAAAGCCAGCAAAGCTTTCTGTGGACAGGTCCGGATCCTCTGTCCCCGTCGACCCAGGCGAATGAGATTTTCTTGTACTTGTCCGCCTTCCTACTATTAGAGGAAGTCTACTGGGTGGAATTTCGTCTTTCAAGATTCGACATGCCCAGCGATGAGTTGATTGGTGAGCACCTCTTTTTCCTGCCACGAATCGAGACAGCGATGGGGAATTTGCCTCGGGTGCGTAAGCAGATGCTCAACATAATTTCCCAAGCATGCTCTGCAGCGCAGACTGCCCGTTTCCGACTGCCCATGTGGCCCCTCTTGGAACCCCTTCCCTACACTCAGCACTTCACGATGTCACCGCTGTCCACTCTGCCTACCTTGCCATGCCTCGATCCGGGGTTTTTCGTCAATAAACTCTGCGCGAATTTCAGGTAGACCCGGGAACTGGACTGACGATGCAGAATCGGAAATACGACGAGTCTGTTCAGGCAAAAGTACACTATAGATACTAGTGCTGAGCTACTCACCTTTTCGAATGAACTGTTTGAATCCTAATACTAAAGATAAAGCCAAATAGCGTCAAGGAGAACCGACACGAACAGGTTAGATCATACACCCCATTCTTTAGGACCTTGTCACTGGGACTCTATTTTCGGTTCTCTAATTGGACAAAATCCCATTTCCTTTGCCTCATAGGGTTGATTTCAGCTCCTTTTTATCAGATCCTCCATTATATTTAATTCCTTTTTTCATTCCAAGTACAGGGATGTAATTTGAAATCCGAGGACCTGTTTCTTGCGTGCCTATTCTCTACGTTCTGCCTGCGAAGGATGCGCAATATTCCCTCCTAACGGACAGAAGATAGTTATATGAAGGTAATTATGCTTCTCAGAACCACAAGGGTACTTAGAAAAACATTTCCAATAGCTCCATAGTATATAATGCTGCAAGAATGGAAGACGCTTCTGTCATCCAATGGTGCGAAAACGTCCGGAAAGCCATCAATCTGGTCATTGATATATCCAATAACAGAATACGTTGTGCCTGTCAGACTATTATGCTTTTTATCTTCCATTCCACGGAGAATAGCAGTCTGGAAAATGCCAAACAAAATATAGAGATAATTAGCGTGCTTTATCAATGGTAATTTTCAGAGTGGTTTAATTTTTGGAAAATTGTACACGCCAGACAACTCTTGTCCTCAAAGGCGATGGTATATACTCAATTGTTGGAAAATCCGTATTAAATACCTGGTCAGGAAGTGGTGCGGGTCTTTTTCCATTTATTTCTGTCAAAAGTGCAAAACAAAGTTAAAACATAGAAACAAAATCAAATATAGCCATTAGGAAACGTTAGGTTCAGATGATTCGAGCAGAAAATTCCAACATTGTGTCTGAATTTCGAGCTTCCTTACAGTAATACTCCACTTGATTATTTGCCTGTCCTTTTGATCGATATCAATGCATCGTAATGCGTGAGAAAGACGCCGCAAAAAACTAAACTGATGGTTGCCATAATCTCTGAGGAGTATATTCAACAGTTCAGATCCAGGATCTACTTGGGGTTAGCAATTTCACCTCGGGGGTACTGGTCTAACCTGCCGTAATGTCCGTGCTTTGGAGCGCTGGTGTTATCGATCTGAGTCCATTGGAGGAGAACATTGAAGGAGGTTTCAGGTTTAAGCGTGCCGAATGCGTATCCATATAGCACCATTATGTCTGGAACGGGGACATCAGGTTGCTGATATACCAGCTTCGATAGTATTTCTTTGGAGGCGCTAAGAAGTGCGTTATATTTGTTTGCGTAGCCTATTCATGTCAAAGACTGTCAGATCTGAGTTTCCAAGCGCTTTTTTGGTCCGCAAACTGAGAATAAATTGTCATACTATCCATGCTTGGCCGTTCTAGCTTCTTGGTAGTTGTGGCAGCGTTGTAGCCAGTGAGTGCCAATTTCCGTCTTGGGGAGCAAAGCTTGCTGACGGAACTTTATTTTCAGGGAATCGGCTCGTATTTGGTGCGACAGAAAGATTCAGCTAAAATTGCTTGTTAGATTCATAAAGCATCCACAGTATAGAGAGTTGAGCTTTGTAGATCGCCGAGCCTGACCATTTCCGGGGCAACTGAAGTGGATTCTCTAGCTGTAGAATAACTGAGGAACTGGGCAGACAGAAGCTCATGAAATATCAATATTAGAACCATTAAATGTAGACAACATAGCAATTTGGCTCAGGATTACAGATATGATACACGGTACTGTGGCCGGCTGGCCCAGACGAACTAGGGGGCAGTATTTATAACTGAGCCTTTGCAAGTGGAGGCAAGTCGGTCAAGTCAGCAGGACTGCCGGTCAGCAGCCGTCGCAGATGGTGTAGCGCACAGGCGACAGCCCGAAAGTTTTTACATGAATAGGAAATCATCAAGTGTATGGGTTTTGTCACAGTATGAAACCCCGTCGATTGCTGTAAGACCGCTCAGGATCCTCGATGCGCCCTTGGCAATCCCGAGTAGAACAGGGAGATGTACCCACACGGTACACTAGGTGTGTAATATCGTAATAATTTCAAATACGGTCTAAGCTACAATCCACCAAGAGCGGCATTTTGCGGGTTTGCACGGATTCTTTGAATTGTCGCGATTTAATAGGGGGTTACATTGGATTCGCTAGGCTCAGAGATGGTCTGTTTGCCTTGAACAAGCGAGTGGTAAGTTGAGAAACCCGTAGGTTCGAACAAAGAGGTCTTCAAAAATAAAGCATTCCAAAATGATAGATAAAAATACTTAGACATCATATGCAAGAGGATATGTGGTGATTGAAATTCCAATGGTTGGAGTGGCCACAGAACTGGATTCCTAGCAAAAGAGCAGACTTTACGTAAGCATTGAAGGCCTGCATGGCAAAAATTATTGGTTTGTTGTAAGATCATCACCCAGTCACCTCATGATGTTTTTGCCCTTAATCATGCAGCTCAAATGTGGGGTTTCTCTATCTTTATCTCAGGGATGGTGCATCTGTCGCGATGGATCGGCGTGTGACTTTCCGCTACATGAACGAAAGGGAGCCTATGGCCATGGATACAGTACAGTATGCCTCTGCACAAACCCATATAGGTCCATCGCCGAGACTGGGTCCAGGCATTGGGCCTTGGAGACCTTCTCAATGGCGATTCCACGTCTAATACAGCACACACGCAGCCCAAGGAAGCCCCTGCGGCAAAACGAGCCTAACTGATAGAGGAACGTACCAGATGTAGAGCACTGTTACTGTAGCGAAAATGGAAAATGGTTAATATGCCTCAGTATGAAAGCAAGTAAATGCTCTCGCATGTGCAGGTGGCACTTCTGGCACTAACTTTGATGGGAATATTGTGGAAGGAGGGGACCATCGTTTTTAGTTTGTCCTTTCACCGGTCACAATCGGAAACGAATCGTAAATTTCTGCGCCTCTCCGTGTTCCTGGGCTTCAAACCGCACTTTTCAATCAGGTTTGATTCAAAATATTACGATGTATTGAAAGCTCTCTGTAATAATTTGGTAATTCAACACCCAAGGAACCGAATTGTGAAGCTCCGATGATCCTTGCGCTAGTAACGCGTGCCGAAGAAACCCATCGAGAAGTAGTCTGCCAATGAGCACATAGGAAACCAACCCACTACACCACCCTGGCGACTACGGACATCAGCCTCGAGCCAACAGAGGTGCCCATGATATTGTAATAGCTGTACCCGAGGCAGACTGTGTCCATTCAGGGGCCCAACACCACCCATTCAGTCGACAAGGGCAAGCACATAATTAGAGCAGTGACCATGCACACTTCCAGAAACCGTGGTACGGTGCAACTTAAAACATCCTTCCCTTTCATTTCACTGCACGTCAACTTCTTAGGACTCAAGAACAGTTTGACTGCCCACCATACACCACTATGTATCATGGTTTCCTCTCCCTCTGAGCCTTCGAGAGCGGCGAGTGGCATGCACCCACCCCTCGCTTCAGCAAATGCCCCATCAATTGCCGACTCACTGCCCAGCATCAATTTTGGATTTGAGGGTTTGCGTAATCGCATGGCCCAGTTCACGACAAAGTTTGACGCAGCGATCGCGCATAGTCGTAAACAGGTCCACGAAGATCGTGACCAGTTTCATGCCAAGCTCGCTGAACTGCAAGGTATGAAGAAGAGTCATTTTGTTTTGCCTTGTATTACCTCGTTTGATTCTGACGGTTGCTAAATTGGGCTATAGAGGATGAACGAACGATCCAACGGAACATCGAAATCATCGATCTGAAATCCAAATCTCACAAACATATACTACAAAAAGAAGCCGCCGAAGCTACCGAAATGCATACTGCAATCTCATCTATCACGAGCGAGCGTGACTCTCGACTCACTAAACGCGACCGTCTCAAACAGCAAATTGCGGAAACTCGGAATTCCATTTCCCAGAGGGTTGAAGCGCAAAAAGCTTGTGCGAAACACCTAGATGCGCAATCCCGCCTGGATAATCCCGAGCTGGCTTTTTGGCAAAATTATCTTTCTCTGCGGATGGAGGGGGCTGGGAGGGAAGATCGGTTGAAATTCACTTTCACTCATATCTCCGAGAAGGATTGGGAATATGAGGCTTGGTTTGAGTTGGGGATTGCTTGTGGTGACTATGAAATCTTTCATACAAAACCGAAATTGGATCGTGACGCTTTGGAAGAAGTGGCGAATCTTGTGAATGAGAATCGGGATTTAGGGGCTTTCCTCAAGCGGATGCGCAAGCTTTTTGCAGATACGATGAATGGGGGAGTTCTTGGGGGTTTGACTGAATGATTGATCATTCAGGCTTTTTCAAGCCAACGATTGTATTAAGCACCCTAGAAAGCACAGTTTTGATTTCATGTTTCTTGATGGATCTGTCCCACTAGTGTAGAGATCATGCATCCATGACAGGAGGAGATTTCAGCAGCAGTCTGGCAATTGAGGCATGCTCACCAATTGCACAAAGTGCCTTCGCTTTAATGAGGTGTTTGTGTGATAGAATGATTCAGGCAGAACAAGTTCCTTCCGACTAAATATTAGTCGACATGCAGATCAAAAATTAATTTTCAAATAGATGATGAGGCCGCATTTGCGAAAACCGAGTATTCTGTAGATCGATGCCTGGATGGAGAGTATCGGGCAGCTAGCCTAGCCTACTTGGACTCCTTCCACAGTCTCAATGTCGCATGCGGACAAGACAGCTGAAGGGAATGTGATTTAACGTATGCTATGGTTACCAACTGGAATTATCCGGGTTATACAATGAGTTGGGCGATGAGCCTTACAAGAAACAGAATAAATGTGAGAATGAGAATTTGAAGGACCTTTCTTGAGGGAACGATACAGAAGTGAAAAGAAAAACGGAAGTGAATAAGCGAGTGAATTGAAAAAACCGGCATTAGATATGGCTGTTCCAATTTCAGCTTGCGGAAAACAAATCAAAAAGAATTGCGACGTTGACATCGAGTTATTCTTGTTTCTTCATGAGCCGCGTCTTCCGATACCTTCTGTGACGGACAAAGATGTGTTTTGCTAGCAATCTGACGGGCTTTGATCCATTTATACTTCGGCTTTTGAATCCCTGGTCGCCTGGTCCGCACTCGCATTTGGCTCCTGAAGGCCCTAGCGATCTGCGATCTAACCAAACGAAGATCATGCTTGGAGGGTTGTTCTCGCAATGACTCTCCTCCACGGGTGAATTCGCAGCCTGGATTGTCGGGAGCCACGTGGGCACAAATGTATTGACTGTGCGCTCCATCGCATCCACTGTCATTGTCTTCATCACTATCGGTCTCTTCAGTGTCGCCCTCATCTTCACTATCCTGCTCAATATGAGACCTCGCGCTTTTTTTGCAAGCTTAAATCAGCAATTCACGGATCTTTGGCACAAAGTTCCCACGCGCGAAATACTTACCCTTCCAGTAGAGCAGGTCGATTCATCATTCTGGGCGGACGGTCGGGAAGCGTTTTTCGCAGGCAGGTCATGCTGGCTCGCTCCTGCGTCGGCGATGGCCTGGGCTCTTGGTACACATTGCTCATAGCATAATTGTGGGGAAGCGTGTGCCCGGCTGGAAAACCAGGCATCGTTGCAACGCTCACGTAGTGCCCCTGGCCATTGAGGTATAGAGATATTCGAAGGTCAACCAAATCACCCATCGGGGTTCTCGGGTAGGCTTTGGGAGTCCAGGGCCTTTGCATGAGTATGACTGTCATTGCAATAGCATCATCGTTATTCTCAAGAGTATCACGGCCATTGACAAACCTTCTGTGTTCTTTCGCATAGGCACAACTCCACTCGCCAGAGGGGTCTTGATGCCGTGGATCATGAATCAGCTGATTAACATGGGCACGCCGCTCATCTGACAGAGCCTGATACTGGCTTGCCGCGGAAATCTCGAAAGCTCGATCGTAGATCATACCATAGAATTCAGGTTGGGTAAAATCCATCCGAGTGCGCTCTGCCCGAGCCCATGTCGCACTCTGTTGTGGGAGAGCATCGGCTCTGAAAAACAGATACCCGTCGTAGACGTTTCGAAGTTGGTGCTGATTCATGGCCGTGGTGGGTGAATGCAGAGTAAATTGTAAATCGCAAGGTATAAGAGGGTTAATAGGAGATTTCTCAAAGGACAGAAAAACTTTCCTCTGTCGATCTTTACTTATAATTTTCAGACCCCAAAGGATGGGGCATTTTCAGGAGTCCCACCGGATGAAATGACGCTAGCTCTAACATCAGCCAATGATTGGAAGGGATAGAATGATGAGGCTGAGCTGCTGAGACAAGCCAGATAGGCGCCAGAGATGATTGAGGGACGCAGCCCATTACCCAGGCGAGGGCCATGGAACCACAAGTATCAATGCAATGATGTAGGACACCGAAATGAGCAAAAGCCTAGTATAGCTAAAGAGACGGTACGTTGACGAATCATCGGTATACAACTTTCGTGGGTGGGGGCGTACGGGTTGGATTTTATTCATCCAAGCCTCTTCACTAAAGAAGCAGCCTTGGCAACTTCTCTAACCCGACAAGATTCGTACCATTGATATTATCAATATTGCGGGTAGTACTTTCATCGGGAAATACTCTGAGGTGTGGAATTCAGCTATATCATCAGTGGGTGGGAAGAAGAGTGTAGGTCCACGCAGTTCGTGATAGAGGGGGGTTCTCCTAGCCGAAAGATTTCTCCTCTCTCTTCCGTGTATTCTCACCCGGGCTATTCATACCGAAACTCAATCAAGTACACTACTTGCCCATTTCAGGTTGGAAGGCCGGCACAGAGTATGACTTGGTTGTTTGATTCTACATATGCTTGCAGGTCGCATCTTCTTTACACAGTGGAAGAAGTTCGAACACTGATTCTCATATGATCAAATGGTGGTAGCATTGAAAAATACTAGAATCCATCAGGACACAGTACACATTATCTTTTTATCCGGTCTAGCATTAAGGAATGCTACTTGGCTGAAATTAAGCCAACATCTTTATACCTAGGTCGTGGACATCTATCCAGAAGGATCGATCGAGATCAAGACCCAACAAGGTGGGCTGTGAATACGAGGAACTGACGGTGTGTGGATAACTGTTAGGATGCACGAACAGGGCAAGGGAAGAGTTCATCTCTGAGGTGGAAAGTTGCTCTGCATAGCCACTCATTGAGCTTCTTCGGCAGCAGAGATCAGTATCTGTATCTCAGCTTCCAGAAGTCGGGCGCAGGGTTAAGAGCTCGTGCTAGTTGGTTGCAAACAATTTCGGGAAATGTCCATGAGCCTAGAACAGAATGTAATGTGATGGCTCCACCAGGCTTGCGGGGATCGTTCAAGGCTCCGCTCTCAGAGAAATCAGCGCTGATCCTTGAGCTCCGTCGGACAAGTACCGGAGCTCAGGATTCGAAGCAAATTAGACGGACACCGATCTGTCCGCAGAAGGAATCGGCGAAAGTAGTCGAATTCGTGCCCCAAGTGGCAAATCACCTCGAGCCAAAAGTAGTCTACATACAGTGCCGATAGGAATACGCTCGCCCAGTGGCAAAGCAATGTTCTGTGACCAACCGGAAGAGTAAAAGCACCTCCACCTGGGCGAGATAAATGGGCCGATCAATCCTGTATTGAGGTGAGCTGGGTCTTCGTGCTTAACATTCAGTCCAGCGGCATTGCCATTTCAAGACTATGGATCAGCATCAGGGGGCGCCGGGATCCCAGGAATATCTCCACCTGTTCACGGACACTTGGAATATTATGAAACAGCTCTCGAGTTGGAGTCCACATCTCACTAGGTTTCCAAACACCGCGGCCCGTAGTACTGTATCCATGTTCCGGCCTTGTGATGGACTCTTGCTATGGTCAATGATCACCCCCCCCCCCCCCACTAGTGGTACACCCGGCCCAATTCTCTTGCACCGGGTTTTTAGCATGATACCTATGTCCTAGGATATCACCTGACGGAAAAGTTGGGTTATTGGTGTTCTAGTATGCATTGTATTGCACAAGGATAGTCTGGCGTGGAGTGGTGTGGAGGAGAGGCTCTGTGCTAGACTAGGCGGGCGTTCCACTCCGTTCCCGGTCAATTTTTCTTCCATAAGCATCCAATTACATCGACTTGCCGCTCCCTTTCCACTCTTCCTGGCCTCCAAGATCGTTCAATCATAATTCCAAGACGTTATTGGGCCATCAGAGCCGGAATTTCCAGAAGAGCCCACCCAGACTGACCACTGAGAAAAAACGCGGACGTTCAACAAACTCTGTAACACCATCCATCAGAAACAGCCAGCGCGTTTGAAACAGCCGTGAATATATCAAAGGTATGCCTTGTGTAAGCTTTCGATGTGATCCGGTCTATGCAACTGATAGTCCATCTGGCTCGTAGTCTATTTGATTTTTATCGAGCGACACCGAGCCTCTTAACCCTTACACCCTAAGATGAAAGAGAGCAGGAGCCTTATTATCTACCGGATGGCAGGCTTCGTGGGTGTGTCAATGAATATCCATGGACTCTGTTGGTGCATATTCAAACTTGCTCCGAGATATTGCACCACTACTTCAAGTCACACTTCCGGCTTCACTTCCCAACAATGATAATTCTCGTGGCCGGAAGGCGGAAATTGATGGAGGATCCAAAAGCCAATGAAACCACATTCGAGTATTTCTCACATAAACACACAGGACATTGATAATTGGTGTCGAGGTGATTCTTCAATTCTCCACGCATATCTGAGCAATAGAAGTGTTATCTGACAGCATGTGGTCTCGAAAGACGCGCCCAAACCATTGGCTCCTAAAGAAAACAATTAATGCTGGTATCTAGCCTTATTTATTCTCTATCAACTACCATCCTCCGAAAGCCCCGATCCCATGACCCCAGGACCCGATCTCATATCAACACCATCGTGAGGAATGGCCAGAGAAATACCATCAAAGGTTTATATGTGTTCTGAGCTAGCTATTTGTGGAGATCAATACTGCAATGGCATTACTTGGCTATGAGTGGGCTTCGGATATATATACTTGCGGAGTGAACTCGCAAGACCACCGTGAACCCCATCGACGACAGATACGCGGTGGCTCGAGATGGCCTAACGGATTCATTGAAGACGCTCCCGAATTTGGTACAGAAAGTTGAGCTCATAGGAAGAGAGTCTATCGAGGTGTCCCTGGAAATATTGCAATGCGAGCTCCGCAGTCTGGTGCGTCTCGCCTTTTGTGGGAATATTGAGCCGCGTGGAGAGTTGTGTTTTCATGCCGATGACAGCATCACTGCAACCTGCAACGCTGTTCAACTGATCAGATCGTGCTGCCACTCGGTTGGCATGATGTGGGGTCTTTCTGAGTATGTTGGTGGGCTGGCTATCATTGCTGGATAGAGAGTTATCGCTTTGGCATAGAGACTGTGACACCGGCCTAACATGGTACATCAGCAAGGGAAGGAAGGATGAAATGACAGAAGAAATACATACCACCTTCTCGAGCCGCTATATGGTACCACGTTCATGTTCATCAATGACGTCTCTGATTTCGGATAAGGAACGGCTTCCTCGAATACTGGGTGTGCAGGTGTTAATCAAGCTAAAAACGTTCTTCAAATGTTTCTCCCCAAATTATAGTCAAATCGGTGATGAATGTAGTGGTTATTACTTCGATACATTGATATGTTGATCTTTTTAACGATTTTGCGCGGGAGTACTGCTAGCTCAGGAGAATAGTTGTAATTCAGCCGTCACACCTAGAAAAGAGGTTACCAATTTCCCGCCTCTCCCGGTCCCCGGACTTTTCATTGCGGCTTTAAAGTAGGTTTGATTCAAAAAATTACGATGTATTGAAAGCCATCCGTAATCACCTGGTATCTTTACATTCCCAGAAACCGCATTGTGGAGCCCCATGTTCCTTGCGCAATTTGAATGCAGGCGAATAAACCCATCAAACCAATCCCGGCTAACCTACAGATCTAGACCTCCGACGATGAGCGCCATCCTCATACCGACAGAAGTAACTACAGTATTCCTGGGGCTGCACTGGAGGATCAGGGGCTCAGACGACTGATGATTGGCCCACCACTCCGGTCGCACAGGGCCAGCGATCATGCAAATGATGGACAGCGTCTGCACGTTGGTATATCTATGACCCCGTCGCCTGGCACTGGCTACTAGCTCATGATGGATTCCCAATTTCCTTTGATCAAGATGGACGGCATATCGCAGGCTAGCGATGGCAGCCAGAAAGGTTTATTCCATCCCCATCACCACACTCACAAGGTGTTATGCCTTTACTAACTGAGATGACACTACAGCCATGCACAAAGCACCTTCTTCGTCCTTTAGCACTGCGTCTACAGAGCACGAGGTCTCCATGGATAATACAAGCGATGAAGCCGACCGAGAGATAGAAAAATTTCAAGCCAAAAAGAGAGATTGGCGCAAGAACGAATTCCAACAACTTCTCAACCGTGAGACTGACAAACATCGATTGCACTGTTTTGATCTCGCTACTAGTGGTATCTCTTCGTCCGCAGTACAGAGCACTTCTCCTAGAGCGGAAACCCCTATTACACGTGAAAAGCTTTGGGAAATAGGGCTGGATGAAATCTTAAACAAAGGCCCTGCCAAGGTCGCTTGTGACCTCTCCCAAAGAAGCCTCGAGAAATTGCAGCAGATCCCTTACGGCAACTTCGTTCAGAAAGCTTTGGATCTACCCTCTGACCAGATCAAGACATCCCTCTGGACATATGAAGTTCTTGATGCCAAGCTTTATTTTGATTTGATCAAGTCCCCGCAGCATCTGAACCAATTGCATGATCTCAAACAGGTAACTCACGTTTACAGTCTGCGCCGCCTATCAATGAATTTTCTAACCATGGATAGAGCCTGGCAAAGCTTAAAAGCGACCCTCTAATCTATGCCACCATTGAGTACACTTGGCAAGAGGCCAGCCGAGTAGTACTCCAATGCCCGGCATATGAGGGCCTGAACGGAACCGGAGTAGGCGGATTAGCCTTCAGGTTAGAAGCAACTCTTGACAAATTTATAACCCGACCCCTCCAGGAGGTTCTTGAGAGAGCAGACTCGGCGGAAAGGTTATTGCAGGACTTTCAGGTTTTGGGCATCCGTTTGCACGATTCTTTGAGGCCACTCGAGGCAGACTGGAGCACGCCACTCAACAACAGAAACGATTTTCTGGAGCAATTGCGATGGAACGACGTTCCAGCTCTTGCGAGCCTCATATCACGCAAAGACATGGCTCTCTTCAGAGATTATGTGCCGATTGCCTTCACCAAAGATGGAGCCCAAGCGCGTTCCATCTTGAGCTCCCGGTGGAATCAGCTGATGGTGGAGGTGAAAGAGTGCATGGCTGCTGGGATTGGGCTGGAATCTAAAATTGATGGTCTTGCTCAGGTATGCTGGAACCGTCTCAACTTCAATATCAATTCTGACAGACCTTTTCAGGCCCTCCACACTACTTGCAACTACTATTCCTTGACAGCTGTAGTGCAAGGTATACAAGCGAGCGGCTTACAAACAGAATGCTCGCGCAAGTACGGCAAGCTTATCGACCCCACTGGTGGCTATCAAGCTTATCGCAGCGGCATGGGCGGGAGCCATGCGTTGCATTTTCTTTTACCTGCATTGTCCGCATTTGCGCGGAAAGATTTGACTTACGCAGAAGTGGTTACAAGGGATCTTTCACTTTACATCGAAACTCATCGCTGTCCAGAGGATTCGCCCGTTAGATTTAGTTTCTTGGCTATTTTTACTGCCTGCTTCAGATGCTAGAATAGCGCAATCACACATCCATGCATTCGCAGGCATAACTGCGTTTGTTTCACTGACACACAAATAACGACCCATCTCGATTAAATAATAGCCTGCTCCTCGGCAGCTGTAATTTCCGGCGCAACAAACCTAGGTCGCGTGTGATTAGTGTTGAGCTTGCATCTTTCTTCCTTGTGGTAATACCTTTTCTTTGTTTTGAACACATAGTCAGTCTTCAAATATCGTCTATTGGTCCAGCGTCCCGGTTTACCGCTTCCAGGGGGCAACTCTTCGATCTGGGGGAGCCCCATTGCTTTGAGGTAGGCAGAAAGGAAGTCTGCCGGGGTCTTTGATGATAGGCCCATGTGTGTTTGATCGTTCATTTCCCAACAATGGATATCGAAATCGGCCATCTTATTGAAATACCCCAAATCCTGGTCAACACATTCGGGACACACGTGCGCCATTCCGGAGGACAGAGCAATTCGCAGATATATCTGGATCTTAGATTGCAAAATGTCTTTTGTCTGTGAGGCGATTTTCTCAACGATGACGTCTCTTGTAAAAGCAGCGAATCGTTCGCGTGGCAGCTCGAGTTCTGACTCCTTATCTGTTGGTTTCCACCCAATGATTCTACCGTAGCCGCGTCGGAATTCAGATTCCTCTCTCTCCGAAAGACCTTTATGATCTTCGGTGCCCTTTAATTGTTTGAGGTGGTTGCTCAAGTCGCTCATTCGGGAGTATGACTTGAAACATGCGGGGCAGACGTAGCTTTTGTCCGCCTTTTCAACATGCCTTCCAATATGAAGGCCCTTTTTTGGTTGTTCGACATGGGGGAAAGACAAGAAAAGAATGACTAGGCAATCTTAGCATAAACATTTAGTTAATGTAGAAGGTATTTATTGGAGATCTAGGGACATATCGCCAAGTTCAAGAACACATCCTCTATCGGGCTTGTAACAATACTTGGCCTCCATTTAACCGTTTGATACAATACGTTTACATCGAGTTTTCGTGTTCCTGACAAGGGCACCGAAAAAAGGTCTCAAATTGTCACAGCCAAACTGTGCCGATTTTAGAGAATCTTGCGGCTGGTGCTGCATCATGTTTCGCGATTTAAGAGGAGAGGTGCAGCGAAATGCATGTCGGATAGAATAATCCAAAGTTCTTGTTGCTAGCAGGTTTCAGCGACTTGTCTGTCAATGTTGAGTACTAAATTCCTCTTTTATGGGAAATCTTGAGTTGTTTACTTGGCCGTCAACCGGCACTTTCTGCGTGGCTAACATACATCTTTCTCCCGCTGGCCAAGGAGTAAAAAATGGGACGCAGAAAATGAGTTTCGAAATGTGCGACACAACTGGCTCACAAGTCTCATACAGAATCTGTAATTCTAGCCATTGGAAGCGTAGCCAGACTCAGAGCTGCGATTCGGAAGCCTCCAACCACGAGTACCATTACACCATTGTCATTCTCCTCTGTGCCCGACCATTTCATCTCCATCACCCTTCACTCGGCTAAGGGTCTTCTCCGCCACGACTGCATAATACTTCCCAAAGCCTCGGAAAAACCATCCAAAAGCCTTGCAGTGCTGGCCATTAGTCCAAGAGCGACATATTCTCTGGATGGCTTTTGCACTTTCAACGCACCTGGCTGCATAACACCGAATATGTGGCGCGGTGTCTCCATGAAGATACTTCTCAAGGAATGATATATAAACACAGAGAAGGAGATAGTGGAGCGCATATCGCAGGATGTCCAGTTGCACAACCCGAACTTCAAATTGTGGATCAGAAACATTGAGCTCTTTAGAGAACTCGGCGAGAGATGATTCTATGTAAGACAGCCGACCAACAAGGCCGAGTAGGCTCCATGCTGAGAAGAGGCCGTACCGTGTATTGTACATAATGTTGTCTGACACTTCGAGTAGCTTGAAATGAAACATGGTAAATTGATCTTCCAATGGCGAAGGTTTCTATGAGTGCATTGTCAGCCTAGAAATTCCAATAGAATTATGGCAGTGGGCACCGACTAAATGCCCTCTACTTTGGAAGAATTCTTGCTCGGGGGTATTGCCATGCGCCTGCTGGTTCATGGAGAACAGCATTTTAAGCCTGACCCAGATATTCCGATGTTCCTCGCAGGTTTGGGACCGATCGCAGCACAGCTCACAGTCTATGACGTCCGCCATATTACAAGCCATCTCAAGATCCACCGATACGTCATTACCGCGATGAAGTCGACCGTAAATGATGAGTATCATTGCCTTCAGTGCCGTCTTTGATGGTTGGAAAGGAGGGTTGTCTACCAATAACGAATCCCAAGCAGCGTTTTCATATCGCTTTGATAAGACGCTAGAAGGGGAAATTCTGTCTGGGTGTTCCTCCACTTGGCATGCGAGTGCCAGGACGGCGAAAAGTAGGGATAGCCAGGAGAGAGGTGCGACATCAGGATGTTGATGGAAAATCAGATATTCCTTCTCAAAATCTGCATGAGACAAAATGCAAAATAGCTGGTTATCTGTTAGCAGAAGAAATCATCGTCGGTCAGGAATACGAAACTGGAGAAACCAATGCAAAATATCGACTCTTCAAGTTCTCGGTCATTTCCCAGCAGGGCAAAGCCTTGAGCGGCTGCGTGAATATGACATCTTCGCAATCTAGACTTGTATCGAAATCGTCATCTGAGTCGCTGAAGTCTAGACTGGGAGTCGAGCTCAGATCGGAAAGGATGCTCGTATTATCACACGGTTCCTCTTCGGCAGGCAACTGTCCAGTTCTTTCACAATTGTCTTGGGCTACTGGTGACACCACCTCCACGAAACTCTCTGCTTCTTGGCATGGATACTCACATTTGTCTCCAATCTTGCGAGACGTACATGTTCCACAAGGAGGGCCTTTACCCTGGCAACGAATTTTCCGTCGTCGACACGGCAGGCACGCAACTTTCCTCGCTCTGAAAAGCAGAGGCCTGGCTCTTTTGCCAGATTGGCGCTGTGTGCGGCCGTGCATTTCTTCCAGTCACGAGTAGCAGCGAATAAACAGTCACCCGGGAAGAATCTTTCAATTCTGGACCTGGGCCACCGGAGCTTTATAATATAGCGAACTTAGCGTACCTCTAGTCTTGTTGCCGCGATCGAATTATAGTAAAGGACCTTGTCTTCTATGAGATGAGATTCTTCCATATATTTTTATTTTCTATTTTCAGGGGCGGGGGCCTGAATATCGTTGATTGCTGGTTTAGCCTGAAAAACTCTAGCTAGCTCAGCTAAGCTTCCCTGTTTAGTCACACAACCAAGGGCAAACAGCCGCAACGCCGTGACCCTCCGGATTCCAGGAAACACTAGCTGAATGTCTAGCAGCCGCACCTCGACCCGGGACAAGACTGGCGAAGCCTCATATTTTTCATCCGCGCGTGACACCATGTGATAATTCTCTCCAAAGCCCATAGCAAGCTGAATAAAGTGTCCTTCATCGGTACCACCGACTTCGGGTCTGCTCAGCCTTGTATGCATGACATCTAAGAGGTATCTCAGGTCCTCACCACAATAAACATCATGGTTTGGCATTTTCATGATCACAAGCAAAACCTGTGCTGGTGAGAAGTCGGTCCGCTGGATACCCAACGTACGTTGACATTGGGTATGAAAGCCCAATTTAGGCCAGACAGAGAATCTACCGCAGCATTCAGTCACATCAAAGCAAAGACTTCTACATTATTAGCTGAATTGACGCGTCGACACAGAACGGGTTCGACACAGAACCGGCATACCTGCTATATGTACACCGTGCGGGTGGATAGACTTCAATTTCCGACGCGCGTTGCATGGTTTTAGGGACTGGGCAAAAATTGATATTTGTTGCAATGAGCTTTGTAGATGGGGAGTCGGTTGCTTTATACTCTAGACATCTCCGTATAGATAATTCGTCTTCGCGGCTGCTGATCAATGCCCTGCCACGACGAGAGAATATGGGCTACGAAATTGGCTAAAGAAATTATCCTTCTTGAATTCCACGTGCGTGGCTGACTAGAACTTGATCATATTCAAAGCTTTGTGGAAACTTCCTTCCCAGATTCCGCGTGATTATTTGCTATGCTAAATCTACCAGAAAATAAACGAGAGTATTGGTGGTATGTAGCTAGCCGGAAACCGAGGCCCACAGATTCAATTCTTCATGATATCTCTGCTCCTCATACTCTGCAGACCGACCTCATCAGTCGATTAATGCAATGTGGTCACGAGGCATGTGTAAAAACAGAGACCGAAATTGGCACCACAGTTCAAACAGTTACCAACTGTATCCAGCGGGTATGTCGAATCAGATGCTATCTCTGATCGCTCTGCAGTGGCAGCTCGGGCAGAGGGTACTCCATGCAAGCACCATCGTCCTTCAGCCACGAGTAAAAGTCCAGAAGAACATCTTTGTTGCTTTGGATCATGACAATTCCTGCTTTGTTCGTATCGCTCGGGTCGTAAATCATGCAGGTTTGAACTTGTTCTTCTGTAGCCCAAACGTAGTCGAGATGTTCGTCGTCCCTCAGCCGGATTGGTTTCTGATCCGAGCCATGAGGCCCGTCATGTCCATCGGACCACAAACGTTGACTCTTCATTTCTCGCTAGTCTTCGCTATGGCCAAATATTTCGCCATCCAATTTCCTTTGTGAAGGAAAGTCACACGGTAGACTCGGCTCGAAGCGGCCCAGAGTACCAATTCAGTTTCTTCAGCAGTCTCACGCACCATGGTCTCCAAAATTGTCCCGTCTTCCGGCAGTGCCCCACCACCTGGGGTCTCCCATGTCCAAGGAAAGGCATTCTTTTTCGGCTCTCCATCGTCATCTATACCATTGGGAGAGCGCTGGCAGAGTAAGATGTGGGGCGTAGACGGATCATCTGGACGAAAGCCAAGTATTATGGCACTACCCCTGACTTTCTCTCTCGATGCCATTGTTTTGGGCGAGGAGCGTGGAAAGAGGAATATCGACATCTTCGATAGATAGGGTTGTGTAAGACATAATGGGTGAAAGTCCTATGGACTACATTTCAAAACCTCCTTGGAGATAATTATATTCTCAGAACCATTAGAATAAAGTGTGATCCGATAGCGGAGGGCTTATCGGTCTGCAAATGTGATGCTTTAGGACTTCTAGGGCCTTTGGATCAAGCGAGTGGCGAACACGACGATCAAATTTCTAATGGGAGTGTGAAGTGACAACACAAAAACATTGAATTACGCCGCATTGCGGGGGCTGACTGGGGAACACCTGCTCCTGCAAACATCAGCCCCTGCATCGCTAGTCACCGACGATCGCCGTGCCTAGGCTCTGTGATTGTGGGGCTCAAAAAATTGTAACTTATCATCCGAAGCTAGTAACAGGTCATACTCCAAAGTCTTGGGTCAAATCCACTGCCCACATGGTTAGGACCAATCACTGATTCGCCTCTTGAGCTTGCTCACCTTGTTTCCATTTCAAGACGAACTCCAGTCGGAATCACTCATGGAAGGAGTACGCGCCCTTTCGACCCCTACCCAAAGGCAATTCTTTCTCCGGTACTGTTGCCTTGAGGGCAGTAAAATAATGAGGAAGGAATAATTCGCAATTTGGACCCTTGTACGCGAGGCCCGTGTGGACATCATCCTTCCGTTGGTCGCAATGGTAATAAAACGCCTTTGTAGTGCTGCAGAGAACCAAACAGAGAGGACAAACATAATCCTTTTTGGCATTCCTGACGATTTTCCACACAATTGCAAGACTCTTCTCCAAAGTGTTGAATTTGAGCTGGCCTTTTTTTTCTAGGATAAAATCGATTTCAAAGAAACTGTAGAATGGCCGGCGCCCAGGTCGTCGTCCCGTCTGGTTGAATTCGGTTGGGAAATCACCTTCCGAGATGCTTTCCCAGCCCATAGCCATCCTATAGCTATCCAAAAATAGGATGAAATCACCTTCTCTTTTGGACAATCCGTTGTGGACGCCGTTCTGATCCTCCTTAGCGTCGAAATGCTTGTATAGCACATCCTGATCGCGAAACCCCAGATCACATGCAACACATACAAGCCCCAGCCCTGAGCTCTTCGCTGCATTTTTGAGGACGCAATACTCTCTAAGGATATCGTACATCTTGGAGTCGTAGCAATGGCCAGCGAGTATGGGAACGAGAAAGGAGTGGGTATATTCCTCTTGGGCGTTAAAGAGGCCCGTTGAGCTTATTATATCGTACCCAGATCTAAGAGGGCCAGGACAAGATCCTTTCTATATACTAAATCAACCCCGTAATTTATTGTAGGCATTGTGCCAAAAGCGTATGGAATCAAGCCTCGATCGTTCGTACTGTGCAAGAACAATTAGATTGGCACTGTACACCTAGCCACTAATTACGAATATCATCCTCAAAAGCTTTTATTTAGTCTTGACTTCTACTACACAGTGGATTTTGCTCGAGTCTAGAGGCTATTTGTGAGCTTTGGTTGTCTTAAATCAGTATCCAGAATGGGAACGTGACCTAGTGAAAGGGCAAGCAGATCTGATGTAACAGACTACCAGATAATTTAATTCAATTAATTGAATTTGGAATTCTGTTAAGAAAACCCAGTAAATGTCTTAGCTGCGTGGATTCTTTCAAAGCAATGTTGTGGCCAGAAAAAGATATCTAGTATTCATCGACTTCTGCGGAGAAAGTTTCACAGGACAGATACGCAACACCTTGTTCTCCAGAGCTCTATATGTTTATCGGCTTAATCTGACGCATCTTATGCTCCATAACTGCTTGCCATTTCCCGGCCAGTGAGTCAAAACTTGTATCACAATCCACTAGTTGAACAGGTCGCTACCCTATCTAAGGACAGCCAATGGGCCGCATCTAACCTGCCACAGTAGATCGCAAATTCCCGAAGAAACTCTTGGCCATGTCCATGACATGGAAGTGGGAAATTGTTTGCCAAAAGCCAGTCCAAAGCGGAATTGGGGTCCGGATGAAAGAGAAGATAGTCTTGCGGTGGTAGGCAATTGTTCATCAAAAGCCAGTCAAAAAGAGATGTGGGTTCTAAATGATAGCGAATCATCTCAAGCCAAAGAGAAGAATCTTTCTTCACCACATCAGCAAGATCTATGCCTCTTCGATACAAACGAGAGGCTAGGCCCATGCTTGCAAATCGGCAAATGCTGCGGATTTCATCTTCCTGGAGAATCTCTCCCAAATCCAGTGGCATTTGGTCGACCTTTTCCCAACAGATACAAAACACAACCGAGTTCGTCGCCGCGAGTTGAAGAATTGACCTCCCATCCCACATTTCTGCCACCGATGCAGGAGCAAGAAGATGGATCGGACTCATCGTAGAAATCATGTAATCAATCGTTTCAATAGCGTTTTCCTGAAAGGCAAGAAGGAAGAGGCTGTGTCCAAAGCTGTTGTAGTAGCATGACCGAATAATGCCTTGTCGGATCAGAAATTGGAAAGCACCTGGAGACTCATATGCACAGCACGAGGCAACATCTGGATGTTCTTGCTCGCTTTGCAGGCATTCCTGGCTGTCCACAACTTGATCGAAGTCGGTGAAAAGTTTCCAATGGGCAATAGCAGACTTCCGAGCCCAGTCACTTTGTAGAAAGGAGTCCAAGCCAAAGCGGAGATCGGGATCGGCCTGCTCATAGTATCTCAAGATATGATGCAGCGCTTGCTTCGATTTGAATGTGTCGGAGCAAAAGAGGCAATCAATTTGTGACATAAACCACCCAAAGCTGCGAGCCACATCGTCAATTTGAAGCCTTTTCTCGTTGATGAATCGGTCGGCGATCTCCATGGGGTGATATAAATTACAGAGAAAAGAGGGTAATAGTAGATGTATAGATGACTCCCTGTCCCGGGAGGTATCATTTCATTTAAGCTAATTACCTAGCTCACATCTCCTAATTGAGGCGCTGGATTTCGTCTTGGCTGCAGCTTTGCCACCGGCAGCATGAGCGGGCAAAACTTCTCATACAATCCACCCAAGTATTTGCTTTGATATTTGAAAATATATGTAACTTGGGGCACCCTACGCCAAGCCTTTTGAACACACGGGACCATTCACAGTCACGACCGTTTTCTCGATTTGGATTTCTCCACCGAACATCTTTGCTGTCTCTGATACTTTGATTTCGTGTGTTGCATGCCCACTTCGTGTGAGAAGCCTTTGTTGGACTGTCTGGTTTATCTTGTCATTTTTGTAATAGATGACCCAGTCTGATCCATTGTTCATCTAAGTGTTTTAGTCAAAGAAGATCACCTAAAGGGGACTTCATTACATACTAGAAAAATGTTCAGCTGCCCTAGAGCAAGCCTTGCTGAAAGGAGTAATGTAGAGATACTCATTGTTCTGTTCGTAGATAGGCCTCGGGAGGTTAAAAGCAGTGACAACGGGTTGGCGGATGGAACTGTTAGCAATTGGAGAAGTTCTCTATGAGGTCTGAGGTCTTTAATAAACTGAAGACCAGATTTAAATTGGAAGTATACCAAGCCATAACTTGCTGTCTGACCAGGTGGGGAGAAGAAGGGGGGGGCAGACAGAGAGGGGTGGTCCGCCACAATAATTCCATATATGCATCCCAACCCGCGCTTCCTTGTCATTCCCGGTTCAGGCTTTTGAGTTTCTCATTAAATGAAGTCTTTCGGCCCCAGAAACCATATATGGCATTCGGTGTAACTCCCGTTCTTAAAAAAAGGTACTGGAAGGAATCTTGGTAACCTTTGGAATGTGGCTGCCATAGACCGTCAAAGGTAGCATTTTAGCCAAAATAGCGACGCTACGGCGATGTTGGTTTGCCTCTAAGATATTGGATCTTTGATCCGGAGCTCCAGAAAAATAACAGTTAAATTGAGATGAGTATCGGCATTTGAGTCAATAGAGCTTCTAACAACTTTAACTGCTTGTAACATGGTACTCTATCAATAAAATGAGAGTACTTTTGATATGAACAAAAGAAAATATGGCTCTTATCACCAGATCATATTCTCTGCCAATTCCCTCAGATTTTCCCTAAATGATTATACAGACTTCCTATGGAGCTCCAATATGTGGTTGGTCAGCTCTTTTTTCTCGTGTGCCAGAAAAGCGCCTATAACTAATAAAAGGTCGTTGTGCAGAAGGCGGTAGACTTCCTTTGACAAGCATGTTTCGCGAGGAGAGTCACACAGTTCGAGTCAGGGTTATTCGTATAGTATTCGGGACAGATTCGGAGTCATGGTGCCATAACATACCGCATCGGCATGATACAGACTCTCGAGTGTGTTCAACCGCTCTCATTAGCCTTCAATCAATTATCTGGTTCTATTGGACATCTTCAGTACCAGCCAGTATCTCAATTCCTCATCCTGTTAATATATTCTGCTCGAACAAAGGTACTGTAGCGTTTCAGTGCGCGTTGACACCGGTTCTCCTCATTCTGTGGCTGCATTAGCGTGGCGACATGAAGATTTTGATTCATAGCCTATCGATTGCGCAACAATCACAGACATCCAAACGTCAACTTGCAAGGTGCAGCGAAGTATATGTAGTTTGTGGTATTTTGATTCGTTCCTCTGCATGGACATATGACTGCTAAGCCTAATGAGGGCCCCTGCGATGAAGGGTTCCTAATACGGCTAGTTTGCACAACGCCCCTAAACCCAATGAAGAACCCTCCAATGAAGGGTTTCCTAATACGGTTCAGCTGTTGCTGTACCTGATCTTTGTTGAAAATTCATTCCCACTTGAATCAGGCGTTCATTCTGTTTTTCTTTGCCGCAGGTGTAGCTTTTGAGTCGGACAGGCTTGCTGAAGCCACGAATGACCTGGAGTGGCACGACATGAGTATCTCTGGAAAATCGATAAAGAAATGGTGGCTGAGGCTCCTTAGAGGAATTGCTGCTCCTAGGGTCGAATATGCGGGAATAATCTCGTACTTATATACCCACAAGGTAATGCAAATCGGGCTCGTCATTAGCCGACGCATATTAACTACATCTGTGCCTCACGCGCCGTGTCGCATGCGATTGCAGGAGCACAGATCCACTCTATGATGAGCTAACATCCCTTGATCTCTCATTGGATGTTTCAGAAAGGAGGCGTTTGCGCCAGCTCTCCAGGCCACCGGGCGCAGGCCGTGGCATTTGATGCTCCTCCACGCAGGTTATTTGTTTCACTTCCCAACTACCACATTCAACGATGGCGATAGCCCGTCGTATTCCGTTCAACGGCGATGACAACGCCTATATTCGCTTCCTTGAAATACGAGTATTCGAATTAGAAAATGCTTTGCGTGTACCGCCTGATAACAATCGCTGTTACGGAATGCCTCCTCAACCCAGTGCTTTGCCCCAGACAGACAAGTCGCCCCAGGTCACTCAATTATCTTGCACCGACCGGCCCATTATCACCCACCGCCCTTCCCGACCTTTGTGTCAGAGGGAAGGCTCAAACCAAATCAATACAGAAGCCGAATCCTTCCAAGTCATCGAATTTCATCCAATCGACACATTGAATCGTCCGAGAAAACGGATTTGTCGAAGGGGACCAAAACTCCGGTGGCAGACGGAAATGGACAATTTTCTTTCAAAGATACCGCTTCTAAGCAAGTGGGCTCACCATCAGCCATCGCTCAAAGACAAGGTCCCCGAATTTGTCCAAGGCCGCACCTTTTCTGTCAAACTTTCTGGAGATCCTTCACAAGTTTCATTATCCGAAGTGAGTGTTCTGCCCAATTTGGCCAAGTTTTGTGATTTTGCGGTCAGCACAAACCCCAACGGAGGTTTTTATCGAAAAGTCGCGTGCTTCCGGGAACTCGTTTTTGTGTCATTTTGCAATGTCGTATTGAAAATGGGGCATGATGAAGCGGATGTGCATAAGATCATGCGAAATTATAGCGGATCGAAGGCCGATGAAAAGCACCTGAGAAAGCTTATCGCCGGAGCAAAGTGGGCCAATCGGGCCATATTTGCACTATCGAAGACTTGCTGGGGCTCAAAATCTTGGGAAGTCTTCTTTGCCGGTACGTTGGCGCACCTCATCCTTTAGTACTGCAATCTCTCATATTGAAAGCTGGGAAATCGGTACCGTTTTATGCACGTTGTGCAGAAAGCTCGGAGAGCGAGGGATACTTTTTACAGGCTATGGAAAAGAAATCCTCGACTAGATCTGATACGGAGGAGGGTTCCCAGTCAATACCCCTAATCATACCTTTCATAATAGAAAGAATTGCGGGAGGAATGGCTTCGTGAGTTTTCCACTTTTCTTTTGCGCTCGCTGGGGGATGGAGTCGGCTTGATTCTTATCATTTGTCTAGTATGCGGAAGATATGCGAGTACCTTGGATATGATATGACGTCTTTGGACTCCCATAATAGAAACCCTGGGTCGGAAAGAAATCTGGTTTTCGAGACCGACATTCCTACAGTCTCGATAAATGGCAATATATCTACATCAGAAATTGAAGCTTTGTCGATGGAAAATGGAACACCTCCGCAAAGACCCCTGAAATCACCACAACTTCAAGCAGGCTTCCAATTGACTTACGGAACTTCAATTGTACCTGTCTCTCCATCAGTGTCAGCCTCACTATCTCAATCTCAGGTGCCCGCCAACGACCCCCCCCGAATGCCGTATACCAGACCAACCATCAAAACCTCGGCAGCCAACACCGTCAAGTTCGGATTGTTTCAACACTTTAGACTGGGAAAGGGATTTACTCTTATTGGATTGGGAGCATGATATTGATTTCACTCTATTTCGACTCCAAGACCAAAATTTCACAGAGTCTACATGAATGTCAATCTCTGAAGCACTTTCATATCGCGCGTGAAGTTGAAGAGACTGTAGATAGTGGATAAACAAGAGTAATAAACATACCACCTCCCCCTGAGGTGTGAGAATAAACGATACTTCCACTCCAGGCGACGGCATCGCCTGCCTCCAAATTTAAACATACAGGGTTCCCAAAAGGCGGTTTCCGCTTGTGAGAGCCTTCGTAAAATGTAAACCAGCCGTTTTTTTCTCCCAAATCTGTGACTGCAATAGTAACATAAACTTCTTTGTCGTTGGCGGTTTTCAGTCTAGATGGATCTGCCTGTGATTGGTGAAATACACCAAGGTTGACCGATGACGGCTCGGGCGGAATCGTGTTTGAGGGGAAAAGTGGCTGAAGAAGGTCCTTCTCTGCATTCTTGGTCATATTAGCTTGAACTTGAAGGCCTAATTTCCTCACTAAGATACCTTCACAAAATCATCCTTAACCTCAGTCCCTAAAGGTGACACTTCATATTCATTGTATTTATCGCGGCAGACTGACGGTTTTCGAGTATGTAAGCCTGACTCGAGTTCTGCGGCCAATCCTTTGACGAGCGTTTTATTGACACATTGAGGAATAACAAAATACCCCTGGGAGCTCGCCATCGCGTACGGTAGGGTCCGCTATTTCCCCAGGGAATAGGATCAGCGGAATAGGCAACGTGAATTCTCTGACAAGAATAGAGATGACCTGTAGGCTTACTTCCATATTAGCGCATGGAAAATCACGAAAAGCAATCACCTAGCCCCGCATTGAATACCTTATAGCTTATAAAGACACGACATCAAAGGCATCCGCCTGGAGTCAGCAACCGGCTTGGTTGTAGAAATATGAAGGAAGACGCGGTCAAAGGTTGTATGATGGGACCGAGTCGTTCGGGATTTTCATGACAGACCAATTTAGTGTCCGCGATTGAAGTTGCCTTTCTTGAGAGGCGGGCTGACAAGGGCGTTGGGCCGTTATGCGGCAGAACTAGTCGATCACATGATTATCGCACGTGACCCAAATCGAGCGTTGAATCATGGAGCTCCATAAGATTGTTGTCGTAGCAGGAGTAGTAGTACTAGTATTCATTGAAATTGCGCTAAAGCAATATGCAGTCTACCTCAAACCGAAAAAACCGAGATTGTGCTGCTAGAGCTAAAGAAAAGGAAGATCTTGAGAAGAGCGAAGGAACTAGCACGGTAAATGGTATGAGGGCTCCAGGATTTAATGAAGTCTAGAATTGGAGCTATTATAATGCGTGGTAGAAGGATGGCAAGAATAAGGTGCAAAGAACACAGAGGAATGGCAAGAGTCTCGCGGACAGATGCCGTGGCGATAAGACAAAGCAATGGGCGGGCGATTGCAACAGCGGTTAGGAAGGGGTACCCAGTTCAATGTATCAGCATGGTGCTTGGGTTTCCAGGTATTAGGGCAATAAGACCTGGGGAAATTGCACGCACAAGAGGGACAAGGAACAGGAAAAACCAGGCTTGACCAGGGTTGTGAACAGGCTCCCAGGAGCTCACAACCAAATTTGGACCAATCATTTCTACAGGGGCTCTGTGTCAGACGTGGATCATTCATAGCACCGATTGGCTTTCTTCCTCCGATCTATTATTAGTATCCAATGATCGCATCAATATTTACGACCCACAGGCTCCTGGGAGCCATGGCCAAATATCCACCAATCATTTCAAATATGACTTGCGCGCATGTGAGCCATTGATAGCACTAATTGGCTGATATTTCCGAATAGTGGTACCCACCCTCCCGCATCCACTTTGCTCCCAGGTGATTGATGTGGGTAATGCCTTTGCAAAGATGCGGCTGGTCACAGAGGTTTGATCTACGAAAACGTAATCGACCTAATATCTGACCCACTATACAAGGGACTCTGTTGCGAGATGGGGCTGTGTGAATCAATCCGCGCCGTAATATACCTTGTATCTACTTGATATTGTGTAGGTATGCTTCCTTTCCTCCGATACACGATAGGCACTGAAAAAATATGCCGTTTGGATGGTAGAGATCTAGGATCGCAATATGGCATGGTGTTTGCCTGTCTTTGATGAGGTGTTCATTGGGCAGGGTGTCATGGTCATCATTGGTGAGTGAAATGAAATGGCATGATCTGTTGCCGCCTCGCCTGCCGCAATAACGTACGAGCCCATGGTGGTGAATGTTGAAACGGGTCATCGATGCTTTCCTGCGGCATGCTCACCACTGTTGAAACGGTGCCATTAGTGATAAAAGGAATTACATGTATCGAGTCGCCAGGAAAAATGCGATGTCTCCGAATGTTGTGTTCAAATGTTGTGTCAGATGAATAACAAACTGTTGAACTGTCTTTGCAATTTAAGAGCAGTATATGTTTAAGCCCTCACAATTCACAATGGTGATCTCAATGAAGCAGACTGAATGCCTGGCTGGAAAATTATAAATACCCGATCCCTCGCCGGCTGAAGAGTCGTTCGCAAGCATTCCTTTGTGATTTTGGACCAAAGAATGACGATCATGATTCGACTTCGCGGCTACTCTTTAGTATGGATTGACCTCCAAATCATGCAATGAAATAAACTGACCTTTTTTATCATAATGGCCTAGCCTTTCTCAATAATAGAGTCTTCAGACAGCAAGTGAGTGTAGCTTCCAAGTCGTTTAGATTCATGCTAACTCGGAAGATGCTCCATATCGTCCCGCCTCCGCTACAGCATCCCTCGGAGGACCCATTGAGCGAACCTTTCTGGATCCCGAATGGCCCAAGCTGCGAGTACAGTGAGTTACAAGTTGTCTTCATTGACTGCCTACTGACGATTGATGATAAATAGATGTCATCGTTGATACAGTCCCTGCAGCGGATAGCAATATCTGAGAATGTAAGTTTCAAAACATTCCGCAATTTTCAAAGCAGATGTCATGTTCTGACAACCCTCGATGTAGGATGGCAATCTTTCTATCGCGAATCACTCAATATCTTGTAAGTCATGCTAGTGCTTTGCCCCTACTCCATTCCCAACACCCTATACTACATTTCAATCTCCGTACGATTGCTATCCTTTGGTGGCTCTCTGTTCTTCAGAAAATATCGCTGATTGTTCTTTTTACTTCATAGGGTGCGTGTTAATATTACTCTCGACCTGACAGAGATATGTCCCAACCCCCTCTTCGTCTTCGGAACTAAACCAGCCTGAACAACCTGGTAGACCAAGCCACTGAATATTACTACGCTTGCGCCTTTGCTTTTTCTGGACACGTGGTTAAAATTGCCAATACACCTGGCGCATTTAACGAGCCTAATACAGGAAGGCTTGATGCCATCTGCGAAGCCATACGGTAAGTCTCCAAGGTGTTTTCGTCTCTTCAGCATTACCCTTCCGATTGAAGGTTAGGTGTCAGTTTACTAAGAAATTTCCAGATTCCGACGGCTCTGAGCCTCTTGCCTACCTCCGATCCGAAGCCTCGTCGGCAGCCATGGCTATTCCCATACTAGACCGAGTGAGCCATTGCAGCATCCGCCGACATCAAAGAGAAGTCTAGCATCGACGGCCACCAAGAAAGACCATGGTTTCTTCTCTCCGGGTGTAAAATTAACCAGCAATGAATCGAGCCTGAGGCCAGCTCTGCCAAGCCCTGATTGCAGCTCAGTAAGCGACAGGCCAGGTCGCAGCACTGGATCTATCCCATATCCCTCCCCATGAGAACAGTCGCTTTCAGGTCAGCTACTACTTCGCCCCAGACCAAATACCATGAACCTCTCCTTCGGTGAAACTTTGTCCTGACACGTTTGAAGATTGACCTCTCACACGAAAAGCAGAGACGAAACGGCTATGCATTCGCAGATAGTGCCAACATTCATTTGCAGTGATAGGAAACGACATTGGGCCCTCCAGAGCTAATCGAGCTGAGCCCGCTACATCTCTGGTTGGCTTTCGCTGATCCCAAACTACATTAATGGCAAGTCTGTACCACCCTTAAACACCAGAAGTCTTGCTGATATGGAGAAGCAGTGAAATGCAGTACTGCTTCGGCTGTTCCTTCAAGTCCGATCGGGATAGCGTATTGCGGCTGGTATTGAGATTCTCATATAGGCCGCGAGAACGGTCAGTAGCGAACACCCATCTTGCGCCAGTTGCTGACTATTGGTGCTAGATCTACTATCTCCAACGGCAATCTGTTTGTCTGTGGTCAATGCAGACGGCGATTCAAATATCCCCCGTGTGGCCTATATCTAGAACTACGTTCTCACGGCTGGAGGTTTGTGACAACTGACCTTTTTTTGCCAAACCGCTGGTATGAAGATAACTTTCCCTTCCAAACGTGGCCGCAAGCCAATCGAATGCTCCACAGATGAAGTCTGGCAATCCTTATATCACGCATCATGACCGAGTTCGCTGGAAAGTTGCTGCCAGTAGAAGGTTGTTGCATGGCCGAAAACAGGAATCGACCTAGAGCTGGGCGGGAATGCATTGTAGGGCCGACGGGTGCGAGCCAAGGGAGTCACTCTGCCATACTCGAGGTTGCTTCATTCCCGGCAATAAATCGCAATTTTAGCATTCTTGTGCCCCGGGTCACCACCGAACGGCACAAATTCACCAGTGGACGCAGCATCGCAAATTACGGCCGTTCGATTGCCGCAGCGGTTGCAATTGCTCAATTATTACTCGAAGGATGCCAGGCGAGTTTGTGATAACTGGTAGAATAGCCCTACTTATTGACCTCGGACGTAGCTGACGGAGCTGTGATGTTCTGCCATTGTGGGCCTGTCACTTGTGCCCGACGCGAGACGCTGCGACGCGTCAGTGCACGGTCTTGTCGCCTGTAGTATACCGCCGTGTGCTGCCATAGGTCGGTAATTTCAAGTGACGACAGAAAACAAGAGGCCCAAGAGAAAAAAACACGCGAGACGAACCGGAAACAAGCCGGTTGTGAACACGATGTATGAGCGAAAACCGTCTGTCATGATAAATGGTCATTCAAATGCAGCCTGCGGGAATCGAACCCGGTTCGTTAAGGAAGCAAACGTGGCATATTCGACTAGACCACGGGAGCAGATGCGCTGAACGCGCGAAATCTGCCTCACTATATCCAAATTCTTTTTAGAATATCATAGCCACCGTAGTCTCGACCAGTACTCAGCTACATTACCCCTTTGAGCTCCATAAGAGTCTCTCATTTGACCATTCCAGTGGAATATGATATTCGAAAAGGGGACCAGAATACAGGGCTTGAATTGCTGACATTCTGATGGTTGTTTCTAATTCTCCTGCTACCATGAACGTGCGCGCCTGTGGATATATATTACGCACATGATGATCATTTATCGACATTACCTAAGAGCTGTGTATCACCAAAGAATATGCGACGAAGCTCAAGCCACTTAGAAGAGCGACCCGAGTGAA